TCATGAACCATAAGACTACCCATTTGCTCACAGACTGACAGGACTCACATGCTTTCTTCTTTAAGGGATTGGGGAGAGCACTTCTTCAGTCATTGGTGGCTGACAGGAGAGCAGGTTTCAGCTTCCCTAAGTTGGTGTATAGGAAGAGACAGCAGTTTGCTAGGAGAGCTTGCTTGTTGCCTCTTCCCAATCATCTGTGAGTCCAACTGGATCACAAGGTGAGGCCAGCAAAGTGAAAAGTAGATAGACTTTTTGACTCCTATTTAGAAGGCTACAGCCTTCTAATGGCTAACCTCATTGGAAACTGTTTTATGTGCTCTTCGATCAAGAGATTTGCATTTTATTTCAGCTTTGGCCCACATTAGGAATCTGTGGTTGGAAAATTTGCCACTTCTTCCTTAGTCTTGCAAAATGTTTTCTCGAAGCATTTCATCTTTTTCCAGCCTGTCTTCCCTGTGAGGGCCTCTTTTCCTCAGTGATTACAGGTTGACCAAGGTGAATTTCTATCAGCTGCATGCAGCTGTGCCAGGGATAGTGGTGCAATTTTCTACTACAAAGTCCTTCCTGTTGGCCTGGCGGTATCCCACAACCTTCCTTCTTTATAGTCTGTGGACTCAGACACGTGATATGACAATGTATCAAATTCACTTTGAGATAGCACAGGATTAGCAGCTGCAACAAGAGTGTTATGGCAGAACCTTGGGAAAATTCCTGACACTCTGGCAGGGTCCATGTAAAAATTTTTCTTTCTTGTAGGAACAGATAAGTTTATGACCAGTTTAGCTAATCATCAGATATCAAAGTGGCTGCACTTTCCCATAAAATAAATTTCTGCATTGGAGGAAATGAAGAACATCTAGTAATTCCTTGCTTTGAGCCCCATTAGTTTAGAATCCTGGTTTATTAGCTCTTTCAATATATGTCTTATACATAAATTAGGGAGAATTTATTATCTTCTATCCCAAATTTGGCAAAGGTATTGAATCAGGGACCCCTAATTTCTGCCCTGAAAGGTGAATAAAAGCAATTCAAAAGCACCTCCCATGGCTGGAACAGCAAGTAGCTCATGTGCACTGTAGAGATTTAACCACAAGTATGGAGAACTCTTTCTTGCTGGTCATTTGAACAATTGAAGATTCACACTCTGAGGCAAAAGGCTGACAGCAAAGAGCCACTCTAGACATGGGAATTAGAGTAGTAAATAAAATGGATAGAAAAGTCCTTGTTCTCAGGGAATTGGGATCCTTGTGAATAAAACGGGCTCACTAGGTCTCGGTGCTATTCAAGCCCTTCATACCTGTAAACCCCTTTAACCTTCACATCTACCCACATCATCACTTATCATCACCCTCATTTTACAAATGGGGAAACTAAGACACAGGGAAGTTAGATGACTTATCCGAGGTCACACAACTAGCAAGTAACAATTAAGTTTATTCAACCCAGCAAACATTACTGCCTGCCAAACTTTAAAAGGCTCATGTTCCACCCAGGGAGTCTGGGTTTAAAAACAGACTCTGATTCAGTAGATCTGGGGTAGGGCCTGTGATTCTGCACTTCTGACAAGCTCCCAGGTGACACTGATGCTGCTGGCTTATGGACCCCACATGGAGTGGTAAAGCTCTGAGCCATGATGGGCTTCCTTGACCTGCTGAAAACCAAGCTCCTTGGAGATGGGATATTTTTATTGTCCATGTCTGTGTTGCCTTCATCAGGACTTTCTTATCCTTGCCTAGAATTGATTAGTTAAAGCCATGAAAATCCAGCTACGTTGATTCAAAAGGGGGAGGGAACAGTTTAAAGGATACAGAGCTTGCGGAATGCAAGGAGAGTAAACACAATATATCAGGCCTCTTGGGGCCAGGAGTTCCATTGAGCCCTGTTCTCTTACCTCTCCTTCCTCTGTGCAGGTTCTTGCCTCTGCTTCATCCTGTTCGCCTGTTTTTCAACATGGCTATCCCACCCCACAGTCTACCAGCTCTTTCAGACCCATAACAGCCATCTGTACTCTGTTTCTTATTTTCAGTGCTCAAAGGCAGAGTCTGATTGGTTGCTCTGGCAGTCAGTGGATTACAAGGGCTCTGGGTAGGTTAAATTAAGCAGGCAGGGGAAGTTGGGCATGATGAACAAATTGTCTGACATAGCTTATATCAAGTGCAAGACCAAATATCCACTAAGAGTTCTTTCCTGGATGTCCAGACCGGCAGTCAGAAAGAAATAGATCATTTATTTATTTATCAGGCACCTATCATCTGCCAGGCAATATCATTTGACAATGATGGGGATACAGTGGTAGAAGTTATAGCCACTGGTTTTAAATAATTTAGTTCTAATGGGAGAGTTCTATGGTAAAGGCAAACTCACTTATAGCAGACCAAAGCCCTCCTTCTGAGAACAATTAGGAACACTGAAAAAAACCTATCTGCATTTCTACTTTCTGAATTACATACGTGTATTTCATAAATTTATGTGTATGACATAATTATATATATGTGCATATATATTTCAACTACCCTAATTTTTCTGTGAAGGATTAGCTAGATAGGTAGCTCTCATAGAGGACAGCAGTAAAGTGAGCCCATTGTTGGAGACACTCAACTCTTTAAGAAATTCAACCATATCTAAGCCATACTATTTGGGAGGAGCTATGCAGAAAGTGACCAGGATGTTTAGGAGTGAGTTTTTGGCAATTCTAATAGTGAGTTGAAATTTGGAAGGGTTGTGATAAATATGCCAGGCTTTCCATTGGGGAACACTAAAATACTGAGTAAACCCTAAAAGTAAGGGCAAGCCAGAAATAGACTAGACTATAAAAACTGAGACCCAGCATCTAAACAGGTCAAACTCTGACTGGATTAAGGTGATAATCTCTCTGCTCTAATTTCCTATCTGGAAACTAAATTTTATCTAGAGTTTCCATGATTTTCTACATATAATGTCTGGCATTTAGTCAGAAAAAAAAATCAAGCATACCACAGAATAAAATCCAAAGCAAAAATAGATAATAGAAACAGGTCTATGGGCATTGCAGATATGAAAGTTATCAGGCATAGATATTAAAACAGTATGACTAATATGCTTATGAAATTAGATGACAAGCTAGAGAAATTCATTCCAGAGCTGGGATATATTTTAAAAAATCAAACAAATAATGTAGAACTGAATAAAAACAATAAATGAAATTTAAAACTTTATGAGGGATTCTATTGCAAGTTAGACTCAGATAATGAGAAAATTAGTGATTTGGAAAATGACTCAATAGAAAATATCCAGTGCCAGGTCCAGAGAGATAAAAGGATGAAAAAGTCAGAATTGAAATCATAGCAATAATAATACAAAAGTTTGTAGGAAGGACAGGAATTAGAATTAAAGTTCTAGGCCATCTTTGCCATATTCCATGCCTCTTTCATCCTCCAGTCCAACTATACTAAGTCCCCTACATAGGAACTTTCAAGCTGCAAACTTTCAAAGATGTAAATGTTAATTCACATTATTTGAGGAGATATTGTTAGTTTTTGAGACACAGGATCCAAACATGAAGTTGTGTAAAGGTTACAGCAGCCATTCAGAATGCAGTCCAGTCTATCTTATCATGAGAGGAAAAAAGAGCAACTATCCAGACCTCACTGAATCATTTTTTTCAAGTGGGTAGATAGAATTGAATCCAACAAGGAACCAGAACCTGTGCCATCAGCATTAGGTGTGACTGAAATTGCAGTTTGTCCTTCATCTCTTATTGCTGATGATTCTTAAACTCTATCATTTCCCACCTCCTCCAGTTAGTAACCCTTCTTGCCTGTTCACTTGATACCAGCCCCTGTGTACTAGCTGTTGAACTATACTGTAATACTGTACTTTTCAAGGTACTGTACTATAAGATTTTAAATTTTTTTGGTGTGTTTTTTAATGTATTATTTTATAGCAAGTATTATAAACCAATTGCAATACAGTACTACATAGTCAATGTGTTAGTTGGGTACCTAGGCTAACTTTGTTGGACTTACAAATAAATTGGACTTAAGAACATGCTCTCAGAACGGAACTCATTCATCTGTAGGTGACTTACTGTACCTTTGTTTTTCTATTTAGGCCTTGATTCTCTTGTAGAGAGCTCTTTAATGTGGTAGCCACTGATCACATGTGGCTATTCAAGTTTAAATGAAATAAAATTAAATAAAATTATAAATTTAGTTCCTCGTCACACTGGTCATGTATCAGTTGATCAATAGTCACATGTGACTTTGGTTGCCGTATTGGACAGTGCAGATATAGAACGATAAGCTTATTCCCTGATATTTTACATTTCAGTTTAATTTTTAGATTTTTACTTATTATGATGATGTTGCCCTTATGCATGGAACCCTTCCATGGTTCTAGACTCCTTAGTGTAATGTTCAGGATTTTACACAGTGTGATTTAATTCTGTTTCCCTCCATATTGAAAATAGGCAAAGTAAATTCAGTGATCAACCACTAACTGAAAGAAGATAAAATAATTTCAATATCAGATACCTGTGGCTCTTTGGGACTATTTGGTGTAGAGAATGGTGCTCAGAGCACTGATCCTGAGTCACTGGATGACTTCAGGCTCCTTTAGGAATACTTGGGCAAGTACACTACAGTTTAAAAAGACTCTCACTAAAATGGTGAAATAAATGTTTTGGTTCTTAGACTTCCTATCGAGGAAATCTATTTTGCAAGTATGTGGGGCAACTGAAGCTTTTACTGAACTGAGTTCTGGCTTTGTTATTTGCTGGCTTTTAAACATGGGCAACTTATTTCATGTCTCCTGTGTCCCAGGCTTCCCAGTTGTTAGGTGTAAATCATTGCACCTCTACCCGACGTGTGAGTTGTGACAATTACATGCAGTTTTGCAAATGTGAAAATTACTTTATAAATATAAGTGCCATATATACCATATGGCATTATTTTGGGTTACTATGTGGGCAGGACCATAAATTACTCTACTTCATGCTACGCTGTTTCTTTTTTGTCTTACAGTGATTTCCCTTAAAGCTTCTGAAGACTCGTCTTTTGAGAAAAAGAAAGAGACATGGGCATTTTTTGAAGGTAAAGCTTGCATATTTATTTATTATAAGATGCAGCCCACTTTTAGACAATAGGAAGGAAATAGAGTAGGAATAAAGGACACTAACTTCTTAGCTGACCCTAACATCAAGTTGTTTTCTGGGTCTAAACTTACTAAAGTAGGATAGAAATCCCCCAGTGATGTTGCCCACAGTTTTGAAAGAGTAGAGGTTAAAGTACCAATCTGCATAATTTTTGTTTGTTTTGTTTTTTTCCCCAAAATTGCCTCCCTTAGGTGATACTAGGGAAGAATCTTCAAGTGATATAACAATGATAAGTACATCTACCGTGACTACATTTTATTTCAGGTTGCTTAAGGGAGTTTAGGCTTCTAGAAACTGTTTGAAAACCTTAAGCAAGTAATTTTCAACCCATGTTAGAATCACTTGGGAGATCGTTAAGAAAACCGATGCCTGGACAACATATCTGATTTAGTTGGAACTTGCTAGAGGTTTCCCAGATGATTCCACTGTGCAGCCAGGCTAAGAACCACTGCCTTAGAACAGGAGTTCCCAAACTGTAGTCCCAGAACAACATCTTCAGGATCACCTGGGAGCTTGTTACAAATGCACATCATTGGGCCCTACTCTGGCTTACAGAGTCAGAAGCTGTGTGTGTCGGGGGGGGCAGGGGTCATGCCCAACAATCTGGATTTTAGCAAGATCTCCAGGTGATTCTGATGCACACTCAGGTTTGGGCCTCTGAGCAAGATGATTTTCCTCCTCCAGGGGACCAATGTGTGAATACATCTTTGGTTGCCACAGTTATGAAGTGAACTATTGGCATCTAGTATATGGGAGCCAGGGATGATACTGAACATCCTATGATGTACAAGACAGTACCCACAACAAAGAATTTTGGCTCCACAGAGTGCTGAGGGCGAAAAACCCTGCCTTGGAGTAAGGAAAGTTCAGATAAATTATTGTCATAAAGTGTGTAAAAACTATGTCCATATGCAATGAGAGTACTTTGTGAGTTCTCAGGCAGAGCCTTTGATCAGTGAAAGACTGGTTGCTATTAAAAGGTGGGTCAGGCACGGTGGCTCAAGCCTGTAATCTCAGCACTTTGGGAGGCTGAGGTGAGGGGATTGCCTGAGGCCACGAGTTCAAGACCAACCTGGGCAACTTGGTGAGACATCAGCTCTACAATAAATCAAAAATTTAGCCGGGTGTGGTAGTGCGCACTGTAGTTCTGGTTACTTGGAAGATTGAGGCGGAAGGATTGCCTGAGCCCAACAGGTGGACATTGGGGTGGCCATGAACATGCCACTGCATTTCAGTCTGGGCAATGGAGTAAGACTTCAACTAAAAAAAAAGCATGGTCAGGAACTTTGAAAGAATTATGTTTAGTGAAGGCATTGCATTTACTGATGAGGAATGATCTAGCCAAAAGGATCTGAAGGGGCGGATGTGCCTTAGGGCCCCCCATCATCCTTTGTTAACTCAGTGGGTAATCTGGCAGAAGAAGGGCCAGGCTCATGGGGAGAGCACTTGCATTCAAGCCCACCTCTTCCATTAACTAGTTATAAAGTAGTGATTTCTAGCACTTTGTTTCTTACATAGAAAAATGTAACTGCAATTAGGAGCATCATTTGCAAACCATAAGGTGTTGCCCACGTAGGCCGCTAAGACTAATATTTTAGTTCTGTAGTGATAAATATTTTGTTTCTCAGATTGTACTTTATTCCAACAATGATTCTTTGCATTCCCAGACTTTTCTTCTGCACCTTTTGTAGCTGCCTTTTTCTTTTTGATGACCTTCTCCTAGCAAAATAATCCCTAGTACCTCCACTCAGCATCTCATTCAGGGGCTGCCCAGTCCTTAGCAAAAAGATGAAAGGGACTTTACTCTTCTTAGAATGAAGTAGTAGTAAAGGCAAGATTTACCCTTCTTACTGTTATTTAGTGACATTGAAGCAAACCCCATTTTGCCCTATGTCTCTGGAGCAGCCCTGTGACCAGGCACCGTGATGGTGTAAGGTTATGGATGGCCTGGGTGTCCCTAAGGGCAGGTCACTGATTCATCAAAATTTCCTGAGGACACTCTGGGCTCCAGCCCCTGAGTTTCTGTTTATTATATTAGGCAGGGATCAAAGAAATTCCTGGGCCAGAGGAGATTCCTATGCAAGTGATCTGAGAACTGTATTTTGAAAATACCATGGTACAAAAAATATATATATTTTTAAATTTTAATATCTGGAAGGATTACAGCATTTAGTCCTGACACACCTTGCAGCATAATCAGCGTTTCCAAAACACTTTGTATAATTAACAATATTTCATAATTCGCGTGTGGCTGTACAATGTCAGGGTTACTCTCAACCTAACTCTACATGAAATCCATAGCCCAACACATGCTCTCTTCTCAACAGAGAGAATCAGGCTCCGTCAAAAAGCAGAACATCATTCTCACTGTGTGCAATGCCTGCTTCCAAGCAGTTATTTCCAAAGCAATCTCTTTCTGTGATTTCCACAGCAGCAGCAGCGCCCATGTGTTTTGCTTTCTTAACCCAGCCACAACTTTGGCGAGGTTAGAGGCACAGTTGAAACTCCCTGGCGCACAATCCCAGGCCTTTTGCCCTTTTGTTCCTGGATTGGAGAGCTACAGTAGGGGTTGCGGACGGATATCCATCTTCCTGGGGCTTGGCTCAGCCTGGCTGTGAGCCCATTGTACAAAAGAGGCATTGATTGTCAGGCCTCTTTGTAAGATGCTGGAGTGAGTTAAAATCCCTCAGAGCTGTCGCTCAGGTATGTCACCCCAAGCATGATGGTATTACAGACTGGATTACAAGATAATATAACAGAAGCACACAGAATTTTATCGCCAGAACTACCATCTCCTAGGCTTTTTGCATTTGCCCTGGAAATATAAAAGACTCAGGGGAGAGTGGGGCTTTTTGACTATGTTGAGGAATGCTGGTGTCACCCTGTTTCAAAGCAGCACTGAATACCCCTGCCTGGATCATGGTTGCTGAGCAACAGGTGCCATTTACTTGGCCCTGGCTTAGTTGGGCTGTCAGGGAGGGCAGTAGCTGACATTGTGCACCTCTGTTTCGGCTTCCCTCCATATGGGTAGCCATTCTAGCCTGCCAGCCCACCATCTGCTTCAGGGAGGCCTGAGCATTTTCTGCATGGAGGCTTGCAGTTGAATCTAAAAATGGCAGCTGTTCCTTGGGAAATCTAATGGCAAAAGATAAAACTGCAAGTGAAGTCAGGACATATAACATGATTTTTAGAATTATTGAGGATGTGCAGATATATATAGTATTTTATTTTATTTCTTTAGAGACAGGATTTTGCTTTGTTGTCCAGACTAGAGCACAGTGGCACAATCATAGCTCACTGTAGTCTTGACTGCCTGGGTTCAAGCAATCCTCCTGCCTCAGCCTCCTGAGTAGCTAGGACTATACACCCAGCCAATTTGTAAAATTTTTTGTAGCGATGGGGTCTTGCTGTGCTTTCCAGACTAGTCTTGAACTCTTGACCTCAAGTGGTTCTCCGACCTCTCAAAGCTCTAGTATTATAGGCATGAGCCATGGTGCCTGGCCTATTTTAAAAGCTAACTCCAGATTTGGTTAAGTGCAGATGTTTTGTTAAATTTGGGCCTGAAGGTTTGGCTTCAGCTTTCTGACAAGTGTTGTTTGGCCTAGTCTGAGTTTTAAGACTTTTGAGCCTACATTCATAACTAGAGAAAGTTTTACATGAAAAGTTAAAGGACAAGTTGGGCGATAAGGCAACACTGGGCCAGCATTCCAACCTGAGAACAGTCTCCTGGAGCTGAGCAAGGCAGGGCTTTGCATGAGCTGACATAGAGGAAAGGTGGCCCTGTAGTTTTACAGGGTTGTCATTCTGGCTTCAGTGACTCAGAGTTTAACCTTTTTGTTTGCAAAGAACGTTTAGGGAGGTGGTTTCAGTTTTTTGAGCAGAAACAGCAGGTTAGATGCCTATTCCAGAACCTCAACAGTTATCTTTATGCAGCAAAAGGAATGTATGGAAGAGAGGACAAAAAAAACCCTCCAGAACTTTGGGGTACTACATGCTGCCTAATCAAGGGAAATCCAGGCATTTTTTCTGTGCTTTTTTCCTCCTGGAAGGGGATACGTGTTACAGTTCCTGAGGCTTCAAGAACACAACTGAGAGTGGCCACAACCGTTCCTGTGTGTGTGGAGACCCATATGCAAGTGGGAGGTACCTGCTGGCCAGTGTCCACAATTGGAGGCCTATGGGCTCGGCAGTGCAGCTGAGCCTTCCATACTGGCCAGATGTTTTATGATTCTGTTGCCATGGGTGCCTGTGAAGAGCCTCCCTTTCACCATGTTGAGGAAGCTGGGATCTGAAACTGTAGCCCAGGCTTCTTGAAGTCTCTCGCTGCCTCCCAGGGCTGAGTGGGTCCCGAGTGTGTACCCTATGTTACTTAGGGAGAATTGCCCACCACAGTTGTCCCACCTTGATTCCTGCAGTACTGGAATCAACAAGGGAGCTCAGGTAAAGAGGTGAGCTTATGGATCAGGCCACTTGGCTCCAATGGCTTGGAAACTTTCGTAAGATAGTTTTTCTTTCCTTTATAAGAATAAGACTGAAGCCAAACTTCCCTGCCTTTTGGGCTGGGGGCCCACATCTGCAGAATCCCTTCAAGGTTGATGTTGCATTCACCTGCCCCACATTCTGTCTGCCTGGCAACTTGACCGTATTGTTTACCATCCTCTCATGCCAGGATCAGCTCTTCAATCTTGTTCTGGAGTAGTTTGCTCAACAGTGTATAAATCTGAGACTGGCCATGTGTTTGCTATGTTTTGGTATCCTGTCATGAATCCTGGTCAGTGAACTCTGCTGTGTACCTCAGTTTGTTATGAAGTGTCTTGTCCAGAATCCAAGAGTCTCGTTGCTAAATTTTATATTGTTTAAATGGAGGCCTCAGCTTCTTCACAAACTCTGACCACCCAGCTATCTCTACCCTATTAATCTACAGAGCCATGCATTGTAGACATAGGCATCTATCTAGAAAGGCAGTTTTAATTTTAGTCATTTGAGAGAGTTTTCTCTACTTCTGCCTCAAGTACCTCACATTCCATGGGTTCCTTGGCCTCTCTGGTCTGGCTCTGTTCCACCATCCCACTGATATGACTTTCTTTCAGGACTTTTCCAGTAGCTTCCTAGTGGGAAAGCCCAGTGTTTTTCAGTAGTGGTGCTATTAGAGAATCTTTCTTACAGTGCATTTATCTTGGCTTCTAGAACTCTCACTCCAGTCCTTCTCAGCTTCCATGACTATCTCAGATCCCTCTGTAGGAGACTCTTCCTCCCTCCCACCTGCCTGCCCCACTCCCATAAATGTTGATGCAGATGCTCCTTTCTCCTGCAACCTTGTCCTACAGTACTTTCTACTCATTTTATTTTTAGTCCAGACTGCTAGGTTGCCAGGAACAAAAATCTACTCAAATTAGCCTGGGCAAAATATTGACCAACATAAGAGCACAGGAAGATCTCACAGACTCTAGGGACTAAGGTTGTGCTAGGCCTCCCTTAGCCCAGACCAGGGAGGGGAGAGTCAAAAGGAACCTGAATGTCTGATTCCATTTCATTCCTTCTTTCCTCTCATTGACCATAAGCCCAACCTCTTTCTCCAGGCTTGCCCTGGGAGCCAGCCACCCACTACCTCCACCGGCTTGCTTTTTCAGCTTGAGCACTTAACTAACTGCTTCTCCATGTCTCAAGGGCTTTACAAAGGTACATTTCTGTTGACTCAGCAATTCCATTTCTAGCACTTAATCTTAAGAACATACTGTAAGTAATGTGTTAAGATTTAAGTTCATGAATTGTAGTATTTTTTATTGTGGGGAATAGGTAGAAATACTTTGAGTGACCAATAGTAAAAGATTAAGTCACTGATGACATATTAATATGATAAACCTCTTCATATTTCTCAAAATGATTCTGAATGATTTTTTGAAAAGAACTTGTTGAGGAAATGAGATAAATAAAAAACCAAGTTGTGAAACTGTAAGATCTCCATATAAACATATATGCATATACATTTATAAAGTGCACCAAATTTTAACAGTAGTAATCTCAGGGTGATGGGATGGCTGATGCTTTTTTCCTCTATATATTTTTGTATTTTCTGTTATTTTAAATAGAATTCACTGCAGAACTCCAGTCCTTTTGGAAGAAACCCCTCTAGTCTCTCCAGGCTGAGATGGGTCCCTCTATGTGTTCTTGGTACTGGGCATACATTCCTACTGTTGCACTTATCATGTAGTCCTCTGTTTTGGAAGATAAAACCTTTGTGTGTTCATGTTTATATTTCTTATACTTAGGAGAGTACTGTACATAGTTGATGATAAATGTCTGTTGGCTGGAGAAATTTTAGTCATCAGAAAAACATTTTTGCTAAGTTTTCAAGCATTTGTTAAGTTCAAACATCTGTAACATGTTGCTTCATAGAAGGTTAAAACAATGCTTTTGGCTTTCTTTTACACTTTCTGAGTAGTTTTGGCATTTTATCCATGAGATCAGTAATAAAGTTCATCATTGGAGTTTAAGAAATGTAGGTAAGCCAGGCTCGGTGGCTCAGCCTGTAATCCTGCGCCTTTGGGAGGCTGAGGTGAGTAGATTGCCTGAGGCCGTGGGTTCAAGACCCGCCTGGGCAGCGAGACCTCATCTCTACAATAAATCAAAAAATCCGCCGAGTGTGGTAGCGCATGCCTGTAATTCCGGCTCATCGGAAGGCTGAGGCGGAAGGATCGCTGGAGCCCAGCAGGTCGAGGCTGCGATGGCCCGGAGCAGCCACTGCACTCCATTCTGGGCGACAGAGTGAGACTCCAACTCAAAAAAAAAAAAGAAAGAAATGTAGGTATATGGAGCCGGGTCTGGTGGCTCATGCCTGTAATACCAGATACTTGGGAGGCTGAGAAGAGAGGATCACTTGAGCCCAGGAGTTCGAGACCAGTCTAGACAACATAGTGAGACCCTTTCTCTAAAACAGTTAAAAAAAAAATTAGCTGGGCATGGTGGCCATGCATACCTGTAGTCCCACTGACTAGGGAGGCTGAGGCATGAGAATCACTCAGTCACAGGAGTTTGAGGCTGCTGTGAGCTGTAGTAGCATCACTGTACTCCAGCCTGTATAACTGGGTGATACTCTATCTTGTTATCATTATTGATTAACATCAATTTCTATACAAAAAACATGCACATAATTCCCTTGTAGCAGTTTGTATCCTTTACTCATTTTCTCCCCATGATAGCATTTTGTGAAACTGTAGTAAAATATCACAACCAGGATATTAACATTAACACAAGTCAGGATATGGAATATTTCTGTCACTACAAGGGACCTTTGTAGCCAAACCCATTTTCTTCTCATCCCCGCCACCTTTTTTAACCTCTGGCAACCACTAATCTACTCTCTATTTCTATAATTTTGTCATTTCAAGAATGTTGCAGAAATGTATTCATATAGTATGAAACATTTTGAGAAACTTATATTTTTCACTCAGCATAATTCTCTGGAGATTCATCCAGGTTGTTGTATGTGTCAATAGTTTGTTCTTTTTGTGACTCAATATGCCATGGTGTGGCTGGACCTTACTTTGTCTAACCTTCACCCACTGAAGGACATCTAGATTGTTTCTAATTTTTGGCTATCATGAATAAAGTTGCTATCAACATGCTAATACAGGTTTTTGTGTGAACTTAAGTTGCCATTTCTCTGGGACAAATGCACTGGAATACAATTGTTAGGTTGAAGGGTAATTACAGGTGTATCTTTTAAGAAACTGCCAAACTTTTTTCCAGAAAGACTAGCTACCATTTTACATTCCTACCAGCCAAGAGTAAGTGAGCCCGTTTATCTGCATCCTTGCCAGCATTTGGTATTGTCACTATTTTTTTGTTTTATGTTAGCCATTCTGAAAGGTGTGTGGGATATTTTATTGTGGTTTTATTTTGCATTTCCCTAGTGACTGAAGAAGTTGAAAATTGTCTCATGTGTTTATTTGCCACCTGTATATGCTCCTTTTTTGAAATGTCTCTGTGTGTTTTGCTCGTTTTTCTTTTCTTTTTTTTTTTTTGAGTTGGAATCTCACCCTGCCATCCA